CTTAGGAAATGTTCAGCTGTAGAGGGGTGTGAAAGGTGCCCAGCCTCTGACCTCGTTCATCTGGGAAAGGCGGCTGAGCAGTAGAAGCTGCTCCTGCCATGGAGATTTTGTGCTACGCTTGCTGCATACATCTGCCAGCAGGGAAGCTTTTCTTTATCTGTGTAGGTACGACCTCAGGGCTTCATTTCCCAAGTCACTGAAGCGTGGTGAAGGTACAATTCTGTGTCCTCGATGTGGAGTCTGATGGTTCAGGTCCTTCGCAAAAGGTTGGGGTTTTGAGCAAGCAGATGTAGTGCTGGTTTGAGCTCGGCTGGTACACGAGATATTGTCTGGGCTGGGAAGGAGTAGATGCTTTGTTAGTGGGTAATGAAAATGCCACGTTGAGTAAAAGCATTTACTCTGTTCTGTTTAGAAGAGCAAGCTGGAAATTAAATTTATCAATAAATTTTTAAACTAATTTCTTATGCGTACAATTCAATGGATTGCTTTTGAATATCTCCTGTGATTAAAGCCTTATATCTAGCTGCTAGGCTCCTTCTCTAACCATTAGGAGAGCAAGAAAAAACATCCCTTAATGCTACTGTTTGTTAATTAAATATGTTTAAATAGTAATGATTTCCTTCGTGTGCTGTATTCATTAAAGGGATGCCCTGGTAACAGGAAGAGCCATCCTAATTGGGAGTTTGTGGGTCGTTCTTCATACGAGAAAACAAACCCTGCAAAGTCAGAGTCAGATGTTGTTGGGATTGGGTCATTGCTCTGCAAAGACATTTTGAGGCTTCCAAAGAAGTTCAGAGCTCAACTCTTCCTTCTGTGTCAATGAGAATTATTTGTGGATTCCTCCATTTCGACTTTGGAAATGACAACCCTTGCTTTTTTAGAGTTCGTAGTACACTTACAGAATCTTTTTTCCAACCTGGATATTGATGCTTACTGATAACTCATCCTCTTCCTGCTTTTCCAATTTACTCTGCACTACTTTCCCCATTTTTTAATTTAATGGGAACAAGTCCAAACACTGCTATCAGATGCTTTCAGTCTTTTATTTCACAAAATAAATCTGATTTTAAAACTTTAGTTGCTGCTTGCACAGAAAGTAGATGAATTCTTGGGGGATTTTAAAAATTAAAGAATGAGGAAATGGCCAAGATACTGTGATTTTGAAAAGCACCTACATTTTAAATGAGTTCTTAGTCTCTCTAAAGGTTTCTTAGTCATCTTGTTTGTATACTCCAAAATTAGGTTGCAAACAGGATAGCATATTGTGCTTAAAAATAAAACAAGAAAATCCCCGCCAGCCATCGTATTTCCTCTTCGGATGTGAGAACAAATGTTTTCTTAGTGTTGTTTGACATACTCTTGAAGATTCAACTACTAATTCTGCATATCAGAGGATAACCAAGGGTATCACAGGAGATGGCAGCAGTGCCTTTTATTTGTATGAGTTTCAGTTCAGCTTTCGAGGAGTTTTGGACCATGGATCCTTTCATACCTTGTTAAGAGTTTTCTCCTAAGAGCTCGTGTACGGGTGCAGGCCATGGGTCAATTCTCTGTTACATTAAAGCCTTTGGCTTTATTGCAGCAATATAAAGGAAGCACAGAGGAGGCAGGAGTTGTGCCAGGAGGCAATTCCATGTACAGGGATATAGGACACACATTTCTCTATTTTAGTTCTAAACAAAAAGACAGTAGAAACGAGACTTGGTTCTTTTTAAAAGAAAAATATCATAGTTGAATAGCATAGGACACTTTACAGACTGAATGAGGGAAGTGGCAGATTTGAAAATGGCTTTGTATTAATTGCTTCTACCTCAGTATTTCTGAATTTGTGTAATACCAGTGAGTTAGAACTGCTGTCAGGGGACATGAAATATGGAAGTTTGCATCTCTGCTCAAAGCTGTAGCTCAGTGGCTACCAATTGCTTCCTAATGCGGGGTCTCTACTGATTGCAGTGGTACCAGCTGTGAAGCCATCAGATAATATCTACAACGTGGTTCCATCTCCTGTGTGCACATCATGAATTTGAAATTCCTGAAGTTCGTATGGGGCTACAGACAAGGGGTGTGAAATTTCAGTGGCCCTTTATCATGACAAACGATGCCTTGCACAGTTTTGGGGGTGTATGCATTTCTGAAGGAATTAATCAAAATAAATTCATTCAGATGCACGCTGCTTCCTTAACGAAACCATTAGAAAAGGGCAGAAGATTGAGGTGTCTAATTGCTGGTACTGTGCCAGTAGCCAAATCCTCTGTCTTCAGAAAAGTCCTGGGAAATCTGAAAAGGTATTTTAACCTTTGTAATAATGGCTTTATATCAAAGCCACTTAGAATTCAGGTACACCTATTGGAAAGAGAGAAACAGAAGTGACAGATTATTACTTAATACTGGGTACATCAGTTCTGCACTATATAGTGCAGAAAGTAGGAGTATCAGTCACATTTGCCTGTCAGGCTTTTCCATTGTAAATACATTAATCATTTTCTTTTGTCCAGTGAGGAAGGATCTTATTATTTGAGATGGGTGAAGCAGAATAGGGTTATTTCAAATACAAGGTATATAGGTTATTGTATTATTGTTCAATTTTGAAAAAATTGAGACCACTAAGATACAGGAGTGGAGGGAACCATGAGAGGTCATTTGCCCCCTTTCCTTTTCTACCTGACCCCAAGAACCTATGTTCTTTCCGGATGATGTATCACCTCTTCTTCCAAGGTCTCTTAGGCTAGGCTGTGCATTTTCCTCTGCCCCAGCCAGCCTGTTCCATCAGTTCTCTATCATTATTTTGATAATTAAGATTGCCTAACTGTTAAACAAATCTTCCTTCTTGCAGCTTGAGCACATTACTTTAGGTTCAGTCCATCAACACAGAAAATTGTTTATGCATACTCATTTTTGGAAGACTTTTATGTGTGTGGAGACAGTAATCATCTTTCCCCAAAATCTTTTCTAGGCTAAACAATCCAAATTCTTTCAATCTTTCCTCATAGATCTTATTTTCCAGTCTTTGATTTATTATCCTTGTTCCTTTTTCTCTCTTTTCACCTAAAGTTTTGGTTCTTTCTTGCAATGTAGTTCTCAAAATCAGATGTAGTCCTTAGGCCGAGGCCTTGCTGGTGCTGAGTAGGAATACTCAGGTCTTACAGGTGCACTCCTCTTTATACAACTTTCCAGCGCTGGCAGTGTCACCGTCACCTGGGGCACTGCCGGTATCAGTCACACGGGATCTCTTACGGGCCAGAGTGCCTTGTGGTCGTGTCTGCTGGGCTTCCCACTTATCTTCTCCCCTATTTTTCTTAATATTTGGCTCCACGTTGAGGCCACTGGTTACTCAACGCTGCGGGCATGAGTGAAGCTGAGCCAGAGGGAGGTGTAGCAGCTCCCAGGCAGTTTGTTACAAGTTAAACCCAGATGATGAATTTACTCTGCTGCTCCTGGCACAAAAGTTTCACTCCGCTGCATAATCAGGTCTCTGGTTTTATCTTCTTGGCAGTGGTGCAGGGCTTGTTTCTTTCTTTGTTTTCTGTGTGTATGATTTTCTGAGTTGTCTTGAACTAAATAAATTAGCATTAAATGCAAATATAGGTAAATCCCCAAGCCACAGTTTGTTTTATATCTGAAACTCATTTCTATTTATGGGATTTCTCTTCCTCTGAACTTGTCCCTTTAAATTAGGTTTCTCTATCAGTAATACATATCAGTTGCTGAGGAAAAACTGGGTCTGAGTAGAACCATTTCAAAGCAGAGCTGAGATAGCCTGGAAAGATGTCCTGTCACTTCCACCAACTCTCCTGCTGCTCCTTTGCCCTGGGGTCCTTAGTTCACAATGTTTAACACTCAGAGTCACAAAAAACAAGGCTTTAAGGGATCAAGGCAAAAGATTAATTTCAAAGGACATGCAGCACTTGCAGCAGCCAAATAAACAGCAGAAAATGTGTTGAACCGGCTTTTTGATTGAACCTCTGTGGGTTATTCCACGCTTGTTGCATTGGAAATCTGCAGACAGAAAAGCAGTTGAGTTTGTTACCGAATCTCTTTCATGGATGTTGAAATCTGCTCCTTTGCATCTGTTTCTGGACTTATCAAAATGCCAGTACGTGGAAATAAGTACTTTTGGAACAGATTTTCAAGCTTGGATGACAGAAGTTAAGCTCCAAAAGCCATGCATTTCACTGCAGTGCTCTGCTGTTCAAAAGTGCTGGGTGGTTTGCTGAGATTTTATATGAGAGCTGTAGGAGAACCTGAGAAATAACAAATTGCCAGGTGAAAAGAAAATCCAACCTAGATTTCAAATTCGCTAAACCTGAATCGAGTACAGTATCAGTGCCTCATTTTGCTGCTGTTCACACCAGTGGCTGCAGTCGTCATAGTGCTGAGGATTTTGCTTAGGATTTTATTCACTTTATAGATTGGAAGTTGGAGAAAACTTGGAAGTGATTCCTGCCTGGGAATCTTGGAATACAGTGATACTGAAACAGTGCAGGAGGTAGAAGAGTTACCTTAGTTGATGGTGCATTGAAAGGCTTTTATAAGCCACGGCCCAAGTTCAAACTTCAGACGTCTTTGTTGTTTTCCTTGCAGTTAACAGCCTCACTAAGTCCTTCTGAATTCCTTACATTGCTTCATTGGCCATATCAAAGGAAATGAAATAATCTTGAAACGTTTCCAGATACAGAGTTCACAGAGAGGCCCCATCTTTGCAGTGGGCTTAGATTCAAAGAGCAAATTTTTTACTGTCAAGGCTCTTGTGCCCTGTCCCAAACATTGCCAGTCAAATCCAGTTTAGTAAAACTCTGCACTCATGTGTTTGAAAGGGAAATACTGCAATGTAATTGGGGTTTTACTTCGTTTTTCCAAGTGGCACCTATTTGGAGATTAGATTAGATTGGGTCATTAGTCACTGAGAACTAATGCATCTTTCTTGAGTGTAAGTCCAGTTGAAGAGCTGATGCTGCCTTGGGGTGGTCTCTGAACGGTGCTGCGCTTTGTTTCGTCTGCAGGACACGGAAATTCTGAACACCGCCATCCTCACGGGAAAAACAGTGGCAGTGCCCATCAAAGTGGTCTCCATTGAGGAGAGCAGCGCTGTGACAGACATCTCTGAGTCTGTTGAGTGCAAATCCACTGATGAAGATGTCATTAAGGTAAGTGTATTGGATTCTGAAATTTCATTGCTCTTTTATACACAAAAGGATAACAGCCTTGGAACAGCCTCCTGAAAATTAATTGTACTCCTGTTTTAAAAGCATGAGGAGAGGGGTTCTTAAGAGTTAGGTACAACAGTACAGCCCCCACACTGAGTTTCAGTAGAAATTCAGTGTTTAATTTTTCTTAGTGTCCTAATTTTAAAATGTCTTGGTAGTGTCACCTCAAGTCCTCTGCGCACGGAATTCCTTCACTGCAAAAACAGCTCTGCTGTTAGTGCTGCCTCTCCAGATGGTTCTTATCACCTTTCCAGCTGTGATTATCACCTCCACAGCTGCATCAGTGGAAAGGATTGGATGAGCGCTCCCCGGCAACTGCAACGCAAAGTCATCCTGCTCGACTTCACATTCTGCTGAGAGCTGTTTTGAATTAACAACTTGATTCTGCACGGAAGAGGCTAGAAAGCATTCACATGACTGGTCCATCAATTTAGCACTAGCAGCTTAATGTTGCACAGTAACACCAGTGGGGAAGTTCTGTCTTAAGGCAACGCAGCTATTTCTGCTGTGAATGTGTAGTTAAAGGCGTGAAGGAAATTCGCAGTTGGGCAGGGCGTCAGTACAAAGACAGCGCTCTGCATGGATCCCCTTGCACTCTCCACAAAGGACGTCCTTGGTGCGTGGTCTTTGAGCAAGGGTGATTTTACCATAAGTTCTTTAGAATAGGGGTTTTATTGTGTGATATTACAGCATATAGCACAGTGGGCCTTGTGATGATGCTCTTTAGGTGTCTTTAACATGCTGTCAGCTCTCTTGGATGTGTAGTATACAAATAGTAGTGCTGCAGTGGTTGGTGTTACAGTCTGTTCAGTTTGTAGGTTTATGGAAAGTAATAAAACTCCTGTGAACTTGCAGGATCCAACAGTTTGCTGCACTGCTGTGGAATTTATGTGGAAGCATTTATACCAGTAACCAAGTAGGTGGGAAAAATAGTCATCCTTTGAACTAATGAAGCTGTTATAGAAAGCCTTTACAGGAAGCTTCAGAGCCAAACACATCTCTCCAGTTTGCTGGAGCTTGAAGTGCTCCCATATGTCAGATGCTTTACAGAGTTTTTAATCTCAAAGAATTCCTGTTAACCTTTTTCCTACAGTTGCCACCTGACCACAAATCAAAGTCATAGCTTAAATTTAGTGTAGGGTTCATCCAGATTGTAACCTTATCGGAAACCACATTCCTGAGTAAGACAAAATACAAGGTAGCATTCACAAATTAAAAAAAATCAATTCAGGAGAGGACCGCTGTGATCATCCTGATGAGCCATCTTGCTTAAACAGCTTACAGAATGTCACCAAAGAATTCCAGCCCCATGGGCATTTCTTCTTTGTAACACTGAAACTGTCTGGTTTTAAGTTCTTTCATTCAGAGGAAGACTCATGGAAGGGGAAAAAAATAACCAACAACCGATGGGTGTTTGTTGTACTTCACCAGATGATGCATATAAAACAGCAGCACAGTGGTTTCCCGAATAAAAATCCCTCTGCAAGAATTACTGCTGGGTTTTGTAGCTCTGGAACATATGGATCAAGAAGAAATGCAATTCCAAACCTTACAAACCCAGAGAGTGCTCTTGCAGTAATTGCAGTGCAGCCTGGACTATTGCAGTCCTCCAACAATTTGTTTGGAAAGCTGTTTTCTTGAGACACTGTGTCCTTTGATTAGCGCTTGGGACCCTACTATGCTCTTCTCTTATTTTCTACAGAAATTATTTATCTCCTCTAAAAGCGTTGCTTAAAGTGGAGCCTGTTTGCACTACCAGAACATTTTCAAGTGGCTTCTAGAAGCTTCCCTGTCTAGCCACTCTCAAGTTGAAGTGAACCAAATACCTGGAGGCTAACACACAGTGCTTATTGGAACCGACTGGAGGAATTCTTCAGGAGTCATTTCTTTCTCTTCAGAAATGTTTTGAAATTGCTCAGATGAATCAGGAAACTTTCTTCTGTGTATGTAGAAATACGCGCAGAATCTCTGGTGTGTGACATGAGTGGTAACTGCTGTAAAACAGACGGATAGTTAAAAAATAGAGCTCAGTGAGATGCTTTGAAGACAAAGGTTTTATTACCTCTTCGTAAAGGAAAAGTGGCACTTTTTTCATCTATAATGTGCCAGTTTCCAGGAAATTTCTTTACATGGGGAAATCAAGTCAAATTGACACGTTCATATTAGTTCTGATTTTAAAACGCACACAGAAAGCTTCAGATGGAGCACAGAGGCCTTTCATCCTTAATTCATTTTAAAATTCTGTTTAAAAAAAAAAGATCCAGTCATTGTAAATTTTATTGGTTGGGAAAAGATGACGGTATGTTCAACAAAGAATGTGTGCATGTGTTTACAGTTCATGTTCCCAAGCATCCCTGTCATAGCAACATCAAAACATTTCTACAGGTATGAAAGCCTGCAGGTAAATTTAAACCACAGACTAGGAAAAACAAAGGAATTGTTGATGAGAGCAATTTAATACCTAGAGATATTATCATCTAGAGATCCACACAGGTATTTTTGTTTGATTTCTGGTAACTTTGGATTCAGGCAAACACACAGAGTTAGGCTGGAAGTTGAAGATGAACGGTGCCTGTTAGCATTTGGCTTGTAATATTTAGCCATCAAATAAATACGTGTCCATGTATGTGGTTCGTGTAAAGAGCCTAAGGGTAAAGTTTCTGCCCAGCAATTTGAATGACCATCAGATAAAGGTTTATTTGGTTTAATTTTTACATTACCTTCAGTCTGGCTGCAATTACATTATTCTCAGTAACAGAGTCCAGTGGAAATGTAAACCTGGGATGTATCTGCAAGTAACAGGTAGTAGTTTCCCCGGTGATAAGCATGGTCTCAAGCTGGCTCAGCGTGCAGTTTGTGTCCTGTCTTAATCTGCTGACTACTACTCCTTTGGCTTCTTTTATGGTCTCATAGTTTCATCTCTTTACTTCCAAATTTACAGTGGATTTCATGACCTTTAAAAGTCTTTGAATGCTCTAGAACTTCACACAGTGGTCCAACCTTTTAAAAGTGGACACGAAATTTATAATGGCACTAAAAATGAAGCAACAGCCGAATTTTACTTTGCTAAGCTGGAATTTACCAATAGGATCCATATATCTGGACCCATTAATAGCTGTGAAGAAGAGCACAGTTAAGGGAGACTTGCAATACCTTGTGATATTTCCAGTTGGAAGACTATTGATAATGCTTATGAGCTTGAGGATGTGCTTTCCATGGAAATAGCCTGAGTTCAGAAACCTTCAGGTATTTCATAAGCTACTGTGAACATTTGTATTTTCTAAGTCTTGGACTAGCTTTTCATCCCATTACTACATGAGAGGATGCTGTATACATGGGATTGTGTTCTTATTGTTTTGCTGTTCATTATAGTTGGTGAATTAAAAGCTAGATACCAGTCTCAGTGTATTCACCTTGAACCACACTCTAAGGACCTTATTTACTAGCTGCTTTTAATTGTTAAATGGCATTAATAGCTTAGAGATGTATTCAGATCAAACCATGGATTCAGATAATATTACTACGTATACAGCTGCTGTGGTTGTCACTGGAAACAGAAACACCTTTAAGGTGTTCCTCAGTGGTTGTTAATGAACAGGTTTTGTTGGGACTGATGAGTAGAGGATGGCAGTAACTGCAGGGAAAGGCACTGCAAGAAAATGAGGAATTTCTGTTAGGAGCTACAATCCTACAAAGGTGTGTTGCTCTCCACAGGGCTAATTCAAGATCTGGTCCTTTTCCTATTGAAACTAAAGTGTTGCACTACGAGCATTACAGCATTACAGAACTGAACTCATAGCTTCAGTGCTTCTGGTCCTAGCTTGGAGATAATTCTTCTCAGCTCAGCGAAACATTATAACACATATTGCCAAAATATAAAAATGAGGAATCTCATAAGTACCTGTCAGAGGAAAACTGAGTCTGCACAAAACATGACATCTAAGGCTGCTTCCCTGTGCTTTCTCACCAGCAGCATCTGGAGGCAGATAACGATGTGGTGGGTCATGATAGGTGTGGTGCAGACGGTGATTTCAAGAGTTTCAGAAGGTTTTGTCCCATTAGAAACCCTGGCACATCGCAGGCACATTGCATTTCCCCTCATACCTCTCAACTCCTGCTGCACATGGCAGAGTAAGCCTCCAAACTTGCGTTGCATTTCTGCACCTCAGCATGCACGTATATTCTTTGTATGGGGTTTTACTGCAAAGCTTTCAAGACTCAGAGGATTTAGGGCTTCACATTATGCTTTTAGTGCGGGTTATAGAAGAAAATAAACACAATGAGCTGACTAGAAAGAACTGGTTGTTCCTACCAGCTATTTTGATGGAGGAAGAGCACTAACTTCTGGTAAAAAACTCCTACAGGGAATATAATGCAATTGATTTTTTGCTCATTTTTCACTTAGGTCAAATAAAACTCTATTTGGAGTTTGTTAGCTAGGTACTACTGTTGTAGAGCTGAGCATGCTGAATAACGAGTAGGTGGATAAACGTCTGATTAAACCTGGTCCCATTCCTAACTCAACCCTGTAAAACAAAGGGAGAAATGAAAAGTGTGATGGGATTTCCAGGAATCCAGCGTGCTCTGGTAACAGGCCATACTCTGTGCAGTCTCTTCAGTGTAATGCTCTCTTCTGCGATTTTATGGCAGTCCTGCAGAATTCAGTGCAAGCACGGAGGGGTCAATCTGAACAGCAGCACCGACTGCCAGTCCTCCTCCACTGGAATATGCCAGCAGCTACTCAAGAAGCGCTGACGCCTCTTTCAAGCACTTCAGCCCACGCAGTCAAAATTGCAGCAGTTCTCTCATTTTTAAAAAATAAAGCGGTTGTATAACTTTCTGGAAGGGATATGAAGAAGTTGGCCTACTCCTCGTAAGGGGTCTGTGTATTCATTCTCAGGCTTGCAAGTCTTTCCTTGGTTAGCTCCAGGATCAGGAGC